GATCCACAGGAGGGTCATTGTTAAAGTGTTCTCTGGGTTTGATTATGTTTGTCAGTATAAAGGGAAAAAAAAAACGTATAAATACCATATTATAACATATTACACTTTATACTGAGAGTTGATTTAAAAATACTGTATTGCACCAGGACCAAGGCTCTAGTGTCTGAAAGTAATGGCACATCTGGTTGTACATGAAATACTAAAAAGAAGAAAGGTGAATCATCTGTTTATGGATTTAAAGTTTAACATTTGTATTTTTGGTCTGTGTAAACTTTAAAAATCAGAAATTACAACCTCCTCACAAATGATCTGAATAACTTGTTTACTCTTCATACTGCCTTAAACTATGCTTCTCTCTAAAACAGCAGTATCTCTCTCTTTTCATACACCTGAGGTTAGATGTCTGTAAATGATAAGAAGGAATGACCGTTTTTAATCCATGGTTGATTCTGAAGTGATGTGGCAATAAAAGTGTGACTCTTACTTGCTGTCTCGTATTTTCACCATGACCTTGAAACATCAGGGCTCGTATTCAAACATTCTGAGAATCTTAACTTAGCTTAAACAATCATAGCAAGGAGTCTTAGCCTAGGAGTGATTTAGGAACATTCTTAGAGCAACTCTGAGCAAGGAAGAGACAGAAACTTTTATCTTAGTGAGGAGGCGTGGCTGACCCCGTTGAGGAAAAAAGTCAAACAGAATCAAGTCAGAAATTGTGAAATTATAAACACTGAAATTAGCATCTGTATGATAAATAAGACGTACTTTAAAAGTTTATAGTCTACAAGATGTTTGAAATCACATGCTCACCTGGCAGCAGCTTCAGAAAGAAACTCAACATGCATGTCTCACTACTGGAAAAAAAGTCAGATGGATTGAAATGTCTTAACAAATCATTTTCGTCTGTTCAGCGAAACTATGATTCAAAAAGATTCTTAATGTAGTGTTTGAAGAACATTTCTCCATTTTCTGCTCAGTTTGAGGAACTCTTCATCCCGACAGCTTGACACCTTAAGGGCACTGTGTGAATAACTTAGATCTTTACAAGGAACTAGTCTTAGCTCAAGGGAAAATGTCCTGATTCTAAGAGTGTTCTTAGAATTTTGAAACTAGAAGCAACTCTTATTACTTTGGAGGTTTCATGAATACGGCCCTAGTAGTCCAAGAATACACGGGTGTGGATTTAAATAAGGATTTCCTTCTTTTAAATTATATGGCCTACAACAACAATGCAACAATGTAGGATGTTTGAACATGACACACTTAAAGGTGTTTCACATTTCACACAGCTCTTGTGGTCTTTGAGCCAGTAGATGGCAGCACAGGTTCAGTTTTGAATGTCGAATAAACACTCCTAGTAGAGAAACTTTAAAGCAATTTAGAGTGAAATATAATTCCTACATGGTGTTCAAGAGTTACTTTTACTGCACATTCTCCTGATTGGTTGATTGATTGACTGATTGGGCATCAACACACTGCAGCACCATGAGACGGCACAAGCAGTTTGAATACAGTGAAGGCTTTCACTTGAAGAAGGCTTTCTTCAGCTTCATGTGATACTAATCTACAGCACCACTGGTAACTACTGGTGATGTACTTTATACTAATGAACATTTCTCTGCAGCCTTAATGTGGACACAGATCATTATGTGTTTAACTACAGCCTGCATTTTCAAATAGCAGTTAAGCTAAACATGTCCATCACTATAGGAAACAATACAAAATGTTTTACACAGAGGCACATGACTTTAATATTAGTTCTGCCTCTAACATCTTAAAAAATGACTCGTTTGTTTGAAGATGCAACCGCAACCATGAGGCAACCTGTGGGACAAGAGTGATGTAGCACAACTCAGAAATATAGCTACACATCTGTTCAACTTTTTCAGACTATCCTCGACATCTGCATGCTACCACATCGAGGTAACACTGAAGGAAACGGACGTGCATGCAAAGCTCAACTCGATAATACTGGCAGCATAAAGAATAAGACATTCCTCTGTGATTCAAAGAGCTCATGTCATCTATCTCATTGATACCAGTATAATTCTTATTTAAGCTCTGGCGCCACCCTTTCCATCACGCCTAGAATGTGTCCACATTTGATTTTTATATCCGTGTGCACATAAAAGCCTGAATCCAAAACAAACGCAGCCCCTGAGGTGTTGAACATCTGTCACCTGTTGGAACAAAATGAATGTTTCAGCCTGATCAGAAATGCAAAAATGGAAAAATCAGCCAGCAGCGAAAAAACATTCAAATCCCAAATGTTGACTGATTATTACATTTTTGCAAGTCAACACCACCCTCACCTGTCATTCTCCCTGCTTAATATGGAGTCTTGGTTGTTCCTGCTGGTGGATGGGGGGGTGAATTATTAGTTTTGAGAGTTGATGCAACTTCCTAAAGAGCCCAGAAGTCATTCTAATGTGCAGACTCTGTGTTGAGCAGGAGATTTTTCCAGGAAAAGAAGTTGACGTTAGACTAGTGACAGCCTCACTTAGACAAAACCGTACTATCTCCTCAGGTTAACGTCAATCGTGTGAAATAGTCATTAAATACAGAAGTGAAGATATAATAGTGATTTTATATTCCTCTTCAATAAGTTCCTCGACCATCCTGCTGCTCTGGGGCAATACAGTGTGTTTAGTTTTATATTACATTAAAATACAGCGGCTACAAGAAGCATGTGCTCGTGATTTTCTGATGGCAACTTTGGGGTTTAATTAGAAGCAGAACTCTTGTGTTATTCAGCCGGCCGTGACTGTGCTGCGATAATATCCGCTCTTAACCCCCGACTCTCAAACACTCTCCTCGGGACGCTTCTCGTTAGATTGCCTGTGGCCAAGAAAAAGCCTCTGAAATGTTCCAGCATCCGGGAGGAGAAATGCTGGAGTGAGCTACTTGTTTGTACTTAATGCACAGGGAGAGAGGACGTGCAGAAATATACCTCACTGGTTCAAATGAAGAGGTCATTTCCTGTTCTTTTTCATTGTAATGCTGAGAGGCCTGCAAGGTTGATGTTCTCTATCAAACATGAGGCTGTGCAAGACTCCAAAAAAATCTCTTTTAATCTCTCCTAAACAACTAACAGGAGAGCTGAGAGAGAACCTGGTTTAAGAGACGATTACTCCAGTCTGCTAACTTTAATGACTTGAGGTCATTTATCTGTACTCTTTATAAACACAGTAATGCTCTGTAACGCTGTCAGTCTTTGTTTCTCATGAAGCTCATTAATTCTCCTTCAGATAACAAGGCGTTGCATTTAGAGCTGTGGCAATCAATCATTCATAACAACATATTTTATCAAGCTAGATAACTTTCTGAGTAACATTTCTGTAAATAAATCACTAGTTCTTCTTTTTGTTATATTCCACTATTTAACTCAACATCCTTTATTTTTTTTTATTTTTAATCAAACCAAACGAGCAACTCAAAGTCATTCATGTTGGAAAAATCGTAATTGCATTTCATATCATTCTCTAAAACCCTTTTTTTTTTTTTAATGGAGAAAATAATCAGCACAATAGTCAGTAATGAAAACAAATGTGTTGACTGATCAACATGTGACATCATCATGAATAATAAACATCCCTGAGCGGCTAAACAGAAACTTGAGCTCAAAATAAACGGAGGAGAAAATGATAAGTTTTAGAGGGTGAGATGAAACACTAATGCATCGATGCAGTTTGATGAGATAACCGGGATTTGTGAGGGCGACTTTGTACTTTTCATTTTCTTATGTTTTTTTTTGGGATGGGGCCTTTTTTTATGCCTTTATTTAAGAGACAGGAGAGAGAGAGAGAGAGAGAGAGAGAGAGAGAGAGGAATGACATGCAGGAAAGGAGACACTGGTTGGATTTGAACCCGGGCCGCCCGTTTGGAGTACTACAGCCTTCATTGTTGGGGTGTGCGCACTACGCCCCCCTGGTTTTCATTTTCTTGAGCCAATATAATGTTACAAAAGATGAACATGGTGAATCCAATTAAGTTTAACACTTAACACGTACATTTTCACCAACAACCAAACAAGCTTTCATTCTCTCTGTAAAGCATAATAAAAACCTTCCTCAGTGAGTTTGCTAATCTCATTTTTCAGAAGCCGTTGTGTTTCTTACCAAAGTGGCGCTCCGCTGCTGCAGGGTGATGATGGAGGACGAGGAAGTGGAAGTCTTCGCACCCTGGCAGCCTTTCTAACACATGGCTGCCCGCCTCGCTCTGAGCTGCAGAGTCAAGGTCAGCCGGCCTCTCGTGTCAAACTCCACATCCAGGCTGGGCTTCAGGGAGAGGAAGAGTTCACACAGATTTAATATGCAAGAATTACCGACGGGTGATATGATGAGATTTATATTCATTTAACCTACAGAGATGGTTAAAATCAAACGCAAGAACTCCTTAAAAAGAGATGAAAAGGCACAAAGATGTCTAAAAAAAACCACTCACTTTAAGGTCTCTGTAGACGCTGTTTTTGGAGTTTTTGGTCATATCAAAGGTCCTCATCACCACACTGAGTATTTCCATTTTACCGGTTCAGATTGAAAGCTCTAAAACTTCTACTCAATTCATCTTCTAGTAAAGGGTACAAAGTGACGACCCTGAGCACCCTTAAGTGCTCAGGGGGAAAAGAGGAATTTGAACTGCTACAGTTCAAGAACGAAAAATAGTCCATCAGCTGATGAACAAGCTCCAAAACAACACCTTAATGGACCTTCTTGTATTATTATTTCGTAGCATCAGCAGTATCAGGAAGAAGAAGATTTACCTTGACATGGAGGAGTCCGCTGAAGTCCAACATTTACCTGAACATTCAAGAAAGCATGTAGACAAATCCTTCACAGTTTAAAGTCAAGTGTAATTTGTGCCACATAAAAACATGTTTAATTTCAAATGAAACTGCTGTAGACAGAGTGCAGACAAAATCAAAAATCCATTGTAATTATTAAAAACATGTTTGTTTGTTGTTGTTTTTTTTGGGGGGGGGGGGGGCAGCACATGACAGAATTGTGCTCACTGTTCTTAAAAAACCTTCAACTTTCATCTCTGGATGCTTTCAGGTTTAATGTCAAACCATTAGAGGTCTCCGTTTAAAGCTGCAGGCACCCAAGTTCGACCTTTTCCCCATCTATTTTTCTGAACGTTGTCTTTGATGAGCTGAAAGTAGAAAAATAAAAGAATGTCCTCTAGAAAAAGAAAAAGTCATCCCGTTCGTGTGCTGCTCTGCTCTTCATCAAACACTGTCAGCAGTACAGGAGTCTTGACCTCCAGCAGACCACTGCAGGCAGCGCACTCTGAACCTTCTGCACTAATCTGAGCTCAGACACTGACGACTTTGAGCTTCACCTGAGTGGTCTTGATCTCTGTGCCTCTGGAAAAAAAAATAATAATAAAAAAAAGGAAAAGATGTTCAAAGTTGTCCCTGGTCAGCTCCAGAGGCAGATGTTGCTCATTGCCTGGCACGTTGAGCTGCTCTCTGCGGGGGAAAGGTAGATCTTCCCGCTGGGGCAGACGCACACCTCGTACACTTCCTCTTGCTGGGAGACCTGATGGGGCGACGCGGTGTAGACGCCCAGCGGGAGTCCGCCCAGCTGAATGGTGTTAGCGTCTAAAAGTATCTGGGAGGAAAGACAACATCGAGCAGGAAGTTATTAAGCCACGTTACCAGGGGAGCGCTGAAGTGATGGATTATCAAGTCAAACAGAAAGAATGCAGAGTGACAGCGGGAGAGAATTATAGCAGCTCTGATCTGGTGAGGTGAGATAAGCAGAGGAGGAAAAACTCAATCTCTATTAAATATTTGTATGTGGAACATTAAAGTTTCTAGGCCTGATATCATCACACCTCTACTGACGGAGATGTTTTTTGTTCTATCCATCATTTTGGTATCTCAACAAACTGCTCCAACTAAGTTTGTTACAAAATCAAAAATTCAGACATTCATATCTCCCTCAGGATGATTTCTAATTAGGGATGCATCAGATGTTGAACATTGGTATCGGCTGATATCAGCGCTGAGGTGGTCAGGGTCACCCTTGAATTCTGATTAGCCTCCCAATGGGGCCGCCCCAAAGTCCTAAGCTATGATTGGCTACATGCCTTTTCCAGAGGCGGGGCTTATGTTCAACTCAGCTGTTTTGTGGCACATTACCTTGTGTTAATACTTTCATTTGTGACCACATCTTCTTTGTGAGTCTTTAAAGGATGAAGCATGGAAGATTGATATGGTGTTACATAAACAAACACAGGAATGTAACATCTTTGAGATACTGTAATGCTCGTAGTTGAAGGAGGTATGATTAGTAGAAGCAGGACGGGTAACTGAATGATATTCTAAGCTAATGCTAGAGGCGATTTTAACTGCAGAGTAACTTGTAATCTGCCTCACCTCTCCCTCTGTGGACTCCAGCTGGAGGTCCTTTCGACCGCTGACCTTCAGCGGCCCTGTGGCAGCGCTCACTTCTACCCCTCGGGGAGCCTCCATGGTCAGGGTCCGCGTTGGAGACTCCAGCCTGAAGGAAAATGAACGAACACAGGCTCAGAGATTCAAGTGCATGAGCTTCAATTATTCCGGTCTACTTTCTGGGTCTTTGTTTTCCTATAATTCACAGCTGACAATATGCTGTTGCTGTTTAATTTTTCAAATGTTCTTTTGTAATTACCCCTTTAGGGATGGATGATGGATTTCAATCGCATTATCTTTTCATAACAAACCTGAGGCTTTTAAAAATGGAGTCAAAATGTCTTCAGAAAAAAAAAAAAAGCAGCTCACTGCTTGACTCATGCTGCATAATTGTATCCTAGTAGTGAGTGTTAAACCAGAGACCTCTCCACCTGTGGCATACTAAAGCTGCTGTGTATTTTGAAACGGCTTCTCTCATTATTCTAATCCAGCATGGCTCCTTAACAGCCCATAATTGTATCAGCTGATTTTGACCTTCAGCAACACGGAGGCTAATGCAATCTGCATTTTCCTCCTGCCGACTATTTGTTTACGCGGGGAGAGATAAGTGCCAGAGCCAATCAATGTGCGATTTGTTTTCATAACTCATAACTGTTTGGAAGACATTTCCTCCCCCATCCCCCGCCAAATCTGTATTCAATGAATTTTAAACGGAGGACTTTAAGGCGGCGTCTTGAAATCGCTTAAATCTCCGTACCGTGCTGAAAGTGACACACGTTCCGGATTATGCGCTATTGATATAAAGACACACACACACACACACACACATGATTTCTTCTGCATTTGAATAAACCTCTAAATCAGCTTTTCAGTAGAAACAGTTTGGAGAGGATCTGTGAAATGTGCCTTTGACCTGTAGACATGTCTTCTTTCACTCCACACTTTTCTGTTTCATACTAACATCATAAACTCTTTAACAATAATAATAATGCATTTTATTTATAAGCTCTTTTAAAAACTCAAAGACACTTTACAATAGTTACAACATAAAGAACAGCACAGTAAGGACAGACTAACGGACATCACAGCATTACAAACAAATCATAAAGATAACAACAATAAAGATAACAATGAAGGTAAACTATAGAAAACAGACATACATTAAAAGCTTGTTTGAAGAGGTGAGTTTTGATAAGTGATTTGAAAGTAGGAGGGTCGGTGCAGTAGAACAATGAACCAAATCATCTTTTTTTTAAATGTAACATATCTCTTAAGCACTATGACTATCTATTGCTGCTTCAAATTTAAAGTACATAGAAGTTACGGTCTCGTGTTTGAGGCTCTAAAAGCAGCAAAAGAGTCGCTTTACCCAAATACAAACTTCGACTGTGAAACTCGTTGTTAAATATCCGAAACGCATGAAGCACAAAATGCAACAGAAGTTGTATCGTCACCTTTTAAGGGTCGTTTTCAAGGTCAAGAAAGAACTTTGAGCATCATGGACGTGATTGTTCTTTACAGATCTCAGCGAAACATCATCTCTGTTTTTAAACCTGGGAGGGTAACGCGCTGCATCAAGAAGATGCAGATAAGCTGTAATGTTGCAATAAGACTGTACTACTGAGGACATGCTGCTACTCACAATAACTCACAGCTCCCATGAATCACTGCAGATCTGTTCAACACTTTTTGAGACAAGTCGTTTCTCCCGATTTCAAAATAATTCCGAAAAGCAGAACTCTTGTGTATTACCTCTCAGTCGCCTCCATGATACTAATTAAAGTACAGATGATTGCTGGCTGAGGCTTCATCTGTATGTCACAATTATGTGAATGCACCTATCAATGAATCATTTTGATTGGTCAAATGATTGCATGCTGATGTAAATGCACATTATCTTACTGAGATTCTGTAGGTCTTTTGCCATGTTTTCACTGTGCTCTCAAACTCTCCATGAAAAGCCCTCACCGCAGATAACCTGTGTGGCATTTGTAGCCACCTCAGCTGTTTATGACAGGCGCTCTCTCTCTCACTCTCTCTCTCTCTCGCTCTCCCTTTTCTGGGAAATCTGACCAGCTTTCCTCTCAGCGTGCAGGACGACCTTTAGATCCACAGAGAAAGGTCACAGTATCGCAAATGTGGACAGGACTGAATGTATCGAGGGGCCGGAGCTGAAGCTGTAGTGCATGAGGTCGCTTTAAATACTGCACGTCTTCTCAGTTAGCTGAGGGGATTCCGAAGGTGAAAGTCAAGTTTATTTTCTTTACACTAAGCTATCACATACAGTGTCTGAAAAAGCTTCACAGACCCTGTTTCCACCTCCCTACAGTTCTGAGATATGTAATGGATATAATGAGCCTCAGGAGATCTTCTGCTTAGGTTCACTTCACACTCCGATGTGCAGTTTTACACATTACATGAACGACTCAATCGAGAATGCTGTGACCAAATGTCTTTTTACTTCAATTTATTGTTTCCTAGTTTTACTCTGTTTTATAAAAATGTATACACGTCATGTACACCAGATGAAAAACAGTCTTCCAGCTGTGTAATCATAATTCACAGGCTAGTGTAGCAAGCAAGACCAAACTAACCGGGCTGTCTAGCATCAACTCTGGTAGCATCATATTATTTTTTACAGAGCCTGAACCTTGCTCAGTGATGGATGTTTTTCATTTATGATGAAAGACCTGAGAGCATTCACTTCCTCAGTGTCTGTGTACCGTGTCCTCTGCTGTCCAAACAATTCTCTAATGGAGAAAATAAGACCAACGACAGTACAGTAATAAACAAAAAACAAGTTTCTTTACTCTCAAAACTTGAGAGAAAACAAATACACTCTCCCTGCACTACATCTCAATCTCACCAAATTGGAGATTAAAAAAAAAAAGGTCTGAACAGAGCTAAGTTAGACCAAGAAGAAGAATAGTTCTGTTCTGCCTTTATCTTCTTAATGAACTTGTCACTCCAGTGTGCTTACTGCTGCAGAGACTTTCCCCACAGCTACTCACACAAACCAGAGAGGAGTATGTGGCTGGCTGCTCTGCAAACAGACTCTCTAGTAGCAGGAAGTTTGGGAGAAATTTAAATGACGAGCTGTTTTCTGATGTTGGGGCCGTCTGCAATGTAAGGAAGCATCGCAGCCTTCAGATCCCGTCTGGTCTGCCTGCGTCTCTTAATGTCAGACTCGTCTCACTTCACACTCCCATGTGCTTTTTAAGCAGTCGATTTATTTACAGTAAGCTAAAAACTGCAAATAGAAGTTTGTTCTCGGCTCAGTCGAGACTTTCTCTCGCGTTGATCAGACGTCAGTCTACCGTTTGTCCTCCCTACATGTCAGGAGAGTTGACTCTAGGTGTAAACAAACTGGAAGACAGATGTATCAGAGACATTTTGAGAGGAATGACACTGAACCAGTTTTACCAAGAAGAATATGACAGGAAATTCTTACACTGCTTCCTTCCCTCGTCAGATGGATTTGGGACATCAGGAATCAGAGCACCATCCTCCAGAAAGAGACACAAGATGATCCTATTATGTAATGGACAGAAATATTTTCACATCCAGGCCTGCCATGTCTGGCTCGAAGCTGCTATGAGTGGGCAGCAAGCCGAGGAGTCAAAACATGAATCCTCAGAGCCAAATTTCCTGCAATTATCCGTTCTGATATCGGTCCTCAAACTCAGAGCCGGGGGATGGGGGGGGGGGGGGGGGGGGTGTTTTTGAGAGTGAAGCTGAACCTGGGAGGTCAGTGCCAGGTGAAGGAGCAGATCAGAGCCATACAAGAGTGATGTCTGAAGGTAATGAAGCTGCGAGCCGGAGAAGGACATGACAAACTGACAGGTGGCTCCTTCAGGACTATATCCACTTTATAACTGCTGCGCCCTTGTTTCAGAGCACATCAAGATCAAGGTTTCTGCTTCTCATAGATCCTCAGAACCAGTCACTATTCACAAACCGGCCTTTTTTATATATATATATATATACACACACACACACACACACACGCACACACACACACACACACACACACACACACACACACACACACACACACACACACACACACACACACACAGTTGACAAGGACAAGGGACCAAAGCATGAAACAAAGTAGAACAGAAGAAAACCTCACTGGGCTTTAAATCGATCAGGCTCCTTAACTGTAAACATTTTGCATCTTTATAGGATTGATAGGATACACATTCACTGAAGCAGTGGTCCCCTTCATTCTTCATTATTGTCCATGGAAATCTTGAGCGGCATCATGATGATGACAGAGACAGACTTGCGCATGACTGTACACACACAGGGTGCTCAAGGAAGGAGGAACAGGTGCTTCAAAAGGAAAGGCTGATCTGAGGTGGATTTCTTTGATTTGGTCTGTGCTCGTTTTCTTTCCTGAGATTACCGTGCTGGCCTGCAGAGAAATAAAAACGCATCGAAAAGAGAATCGTGTGTCCTGAAACGGGAAAGGCAGAGTGACATGGATGAGAGCCGAGCTGCCTCGGTGTCACCCAGAGAGCTTTACTAACAGGTGGAGAGAGGTTTGCAAAGAAGGCTCAACTTGTGCTCTTTCAGGGCGGTGCGAGGGGGGATTAAATGCATGATTAAAAAAGTCTCACAGCTACAGAAGAATAAACAATACATGACAGGGGCACTAGAATGTCTGCCTCATGGTTGTATCCAGTCAAATGACAGTTTATGTTCCTCAGTATTTACCACAGAATGACAGTGGACATGTGGTCCACTGGCAGGGGGAATTCAGTCTTTCATAATAGAAATATAGAAAAAAATGAATGACCCTAAAATTCAAAATATGGAAAAGATAGGCCAAGGATATTGTGTTCATGAGAGAGAGAGGCACACGCAACCTTGAGCTCTGATCATGTGATCAGCTCGTCCCTGAGTTCAAGTCGATGTTTGTGCGCATGAGGAGGAAGTCTGTCTGGAGTTCCATGAGATATATTTAACAAAGAGCCAAATCATGGCTGGAGAAGGCTTTTGTTTGTTTTCCAGAAAGGCTCCCGTTAGACGTCTGTGTGAATGTATGTGAAGATAAGCAAATGAATGATGAGTTTTTGCATAAAGACATGTTCTGAGAGATCAGAGTGGCCTGATTTTGAACCAGCAGAATCCAATTATTTATCCTTAAGTCCTAGTGAATGTTTGTGCCAAATAAGCAGATATTCCCCCTGGGTGTTCTTGAACTATTGTTCTAAAAACTGACACACACACACTGAGGGACTTTGAGATGTACCCACAGACCACCCGGACACATTTTGCCTCCAGCCACATTTATAGCCAGCGGGGAGTCTAAAAATAATCGAGTTGGCTTCATAGCATTTTTTTTTTTATTGTTTTGAATCAGCTGTGAAAGTGATGGGACAGACTTGGTGATAACATCGATATGCCACGGTTTAAGAATCTCACTTTTAGTACGAGTCAAACTGTTCTGATACTGTCGCCATAATTATACGGTATGATCTCATTATATTAGATGATGAATTAGAGTTACACCTCCAATCAATCAACCAACAGGCTGTTCTGACTCTTAATTGAGCGTCTGTCTTTCTAATGAAAAAGAGCCTGAAGTGGTCAGAGAGTTTAAGGTGGAGGGGGAGTGAAAGTATTCAACCATAAGACAGAAAGCACTGTTGAATTATAGTTTAATATTTGCAGAGGAAAGCGAGGGGAATCAGTCTTTGGCCTGGTAACAACTGAGAGATATATTTGCTGGTAATAATTGGTCAAAAGAAGACTGTCTAACGGGTCACAAAGCAAAGAGTTCTGAGTTCTCCACTCCGACCCTCAGTGCTTTACTGCATGTCATTCATTACTCCCTCTTCCTGCTAATCGTTCAACATTGGTCTAGCTGAATGTAGTGAAGCATGATGGGTCAATTGTCAGGCTTTGAAATCTAGCCCACTGTCTGAAGTGTCATTCTCTTTGTTCCACCCATGCAGGATGTGTTTTCAGACCCTCTGAAAACCTATTTATCTTCTTTACATAAGCACATAGGAAATTGGCTTTAGAAGCCGAGCAAAATGTGCTTTCCATTATTTTTTAAACCTTATCTTTAGATCTCATCTTAATAAAACAGTTATCTCGCTGTAAACAAAGAAACAACTGGCTTGAGATTAAAAAGTGTGTACTTCATTTGATCACAGCTGATTTCCACCTTCAAGTTCTCTCTCATGAGTGTGGGAGGACAATGATTCCAGTACAGTCTGATGTGTAAATAATAATAATAATAATAATAATAATAATAATACTCGATCAGTCAATCTCACCCTGAATCAGGCGGTACAGTTGTCCTGGTGCCTTCTGTTGAAACAGATGCTGTACTGCCCTCCTCATCTTTGGTAAAATTTTAAGCAATTAACAAAAATAAGGTTGATTACCTTAGTTACTCGAGATTACAGAGGCTGACTGTCACAAAAAATCATAAACTAACGGGTGATCCTGAAAAATGATGGAAGAAAAGCCCCTCTGTAATGATTCTAACAATACAGTAAATAGTTCATTTTCAGACGTGTTGCTTTATAGAGTCAAATTATTGAATCCCTCGTCTAGCACAGCGTGAACCATACTTCGTTAGAATTTTGAGTTTGTGGATGAATGCTATCTTTTCCCTAAACCTGCAATTCCATAATCTAAATCACCGTCAGGGCTGAACATGTATAACTGAACAAAACGTTTTGAAAACCTTCAAGAACTTTTCACAAATCTTGATAGCAGAACTTTTTGTTTCAACTGCAGTTTGATGACATCACAATAACGATGTGGCGTACGTTATTCAGGCCAGCCATCCTGTGCTTGTGTTAAAGTAGAACTGAAGAAGAGAGAAAAGTCACAAGACAGAAGCAGCTGCAGAAATAGGAAGCTTGTTTTCTTCGTCTAAAGCCCAATTAGTCCAAAAACACAGTTAAAAATAAAAAATAAAATAAAGAGTAAAACCAGTTTATACAGGTTTATGTTATAAACAGCCCACATGATTCACTTTTTTACTTTCTGCCTTTTTAATCACGCTGCATAATTAATATTAAAACTCTTTGATGTGTTGGCGTTTGGAAAATAAATTTGCTTTGGAATAAAGGAACTTTCATTTCAAGTTCTGACAGCACGCTTGTTCGGAAATATTTCAGTTATTTTACTTTGAAGGAATTTCATGCAATTTTACCGTATTTTGAAGGAGCCTGAAAAAATTGTGGATTTGTGAACATGCGTAACATTTTAATTAAAGCCCTCAAACAGATGTTGTACACACAGAATCAAACTTTGACGGTCTGTTAATACGATGTTTTTCATCAAATAGAGGAACGTCTGAATCCTACTGAAGCCAGCGTCATGTTGGAGAATGTGTGTCTTTACTGTCTCCTGTTTGTCTTGTTAAGAGTGTGCACTCACTGCAGATGGTCACCCGTGAGCTGTGCCTGTGAGTGTGTGTGTGTGTGTGTGTGTGTGTGTGTGTGTGTGGGTCTTATGTGTGTGTGTGTGTCTGTGTGTGTGTGCATGTGGACGTGTGCTTGCTGTAAAGAGAGTCTCATCAGTATTCCTCTCACTCTGGAGGAATTAGATGCCAGAACACTGTTTTTTTTTTTTGTGCCAACTTTGATCCCGGCGCTCCCTTCAGGACCAGTAAGGTGGACGACAAACCGAACCCGTTATCGCTCGTTAATGGAGCAGCTTCGAGCTCAGAGCGTTGAAGAGCGTATTCACGGAAGTGTGTGAGTCTAATAAGCGTCTACAAATCACCCACTTTCTGCATACTCTTCTCTGTGCTTTAATCAATCCCTGACTGCTTCACTAACACATGAGTTCCCCCCTCGGCTGTGAAATTAATATAACGGTCAAATCTTGTTTTAAATCTGTGGGCTAACGAGCTAACTAGTAGATGCTTGAGTATAAAGGAGAGTGCTCAGGAGTGATGATACTGGTGAATAATGGTCCCTGCCATGTGTTTTTTTCCCCATTCAGCTCAGGCATCGACTTTTGAAATGCAGCGGCACATTTATCATCATCATTGAAATGATCTTCATCTTAATTGAACAGGATATTAACATGTTACATTAAGCTTTAATGCAATTCTGTAAAGTCGATAAATATGAACTTACTTCAGGTCCTCAGAGGCCCTCGCCTGGATCAGAGGAGTCTCGACTGAATGTCCAAACACGGCACCTTCTGAGCCTAGCAAAAGAAAAACAATAATTTAATTCACCACCGAGGATGTTTTATAGTAAAGCTCTGCATCAACTTTAATACTTTCATTGACTGAAACATGTCTATAGAACCGTTTAAAAAGCTGTCAATCAAACCCTTCTAATGGCCAGTAAACAAAGACGGACATCTTTTCTATCTTCGGAAAAGTTCAATTCAAATCACAGTAAGTTATGACAGATATCTGATTTGAACATGAACGCAAACTCAGTCACTACTTTGTCACTCTTTGTAGTTTATTATTATCCGTTGACTCTTTTTTAAGTCCCGCCTTGAATTGTATTTAATTTTTACATGTTGGCACTTGAGCCCTCTGGTCCTGAAGAGGCTGTTTCTCTCAGGTTTTCTTTATTGATTTCTTTATTCTTATAAGTGTTATAAACTCTAGTATATTGTTTTTTTTTAAAGCATTGAACAACCCTCCAGCTGCTGCTGTTTTGAAATGTGCTTCATAAATGAATGGGACTTGACTTGACACAGAAGAATTTGAATTCTCACATTAGACGCAGAGAAGTGCAGCATGACGTGATGTCATTTAATTATAACTATGAAGTCATCTGTACTTCCAGGATACTTGAATCGTGTAATGTTTCGGGGGGGGGTCCTTCATCAGCATTGTAGGCACAAAGAGAAATCTGTTCTATTAGTTTATCTTGCTTTTATGAGGCATGCAGCTTAACTCTACTTTACCTGTTTTTCATGACATCATAAAACATGCTTTACTATGGTTGCGCAATTAAACCATGTTTGTCTCTTTGTTCTGTCAAATTGTGTTCCATTTGAGGTCCAAACTACACCAGTTTTCACGCAGATAGATGATGATGGATGGCTTTTAAGTTCTTCCTCTAATATTAGAATATTTTTAAAAGACAGTACAGCACACTGTACCTGTGACGGTGAACTTTTCAGTTGTCATAATGACCTCCTCCTCATCTGCAGTGAACAGCAGTTTGTCTCCACCTTTACTCCATACCTCCAGCCTCTGACACTGAGCCTCCACAGCTTCAGGTCCTGCAGAGAGAGAGAGAGAGAGAGAGAGAGAAAGAGGAGAGAGAGAGAGAGAGAGAGAGAGAGAGAAAAGAGAGAGAGACGTCCAGGTAAGAGCTTTTTTGTTTCATCAAATGAAATCTAAAAACACTGCAGATTGCACTCAAGCACAGCGCTAAAAATTCAATTGAAAGTCTTTTACTTGGTATTTGTATTTGTTTGCTTTCCAGGAAGAAACATGCATAACAGTTGGAAAATTAGAAGCATTAACAGAAGACATTTTTATCCAAAATGCTTCCTTTGTCTGCAGGCCGGACAATAATGCTCTTTTGGAAGATGATGCTGTCAATTAAAAGGTAGCCTTATGTGTTCCTTGAGTCTTAACTGAGCTTTTTGAAACAAAGTTTAGGCATGAAAGGCTATTAGCAATGTGAAAAACTGTGCAGAGTGCTTCCTCTGCAAATGAAAGGCGCCCTGACGAAGCTTTGCTTTTACAATGGATGGAGACAAATCAGTAATGTGTTCCGCTTGTGAGGAATATTAATTCCGGTTCTCCAGACTTTGGTGTTTTTCCAGATGTGCATGCAGAAACTTTTTTTTTCTCTCTCTTCTCTTCTAGCTTTCATTAATCCACGGGCTGCTGGGGAATTTAATTATTCTCGCCAAGTTTCATCTCATTTCAGACAAAAACGCACTTTCTACAAAAGCAGGCACTAATTTTCCGTGGAAGGTCAAGCGCGACCAAAGCGTGTCATATCAGCAGTCTTTTCAAATCAGCATCAACTCTCAACTTATGTTGGCTAAGATCAATAGCTATTAATGTTAATAAGCAGGTCATTTGCCTTCCAGTGATCATTAATCATGTAAATGACTTTGGTAATTTGGGCTGACTGATGGTTGAACTTGATGATAATAAGAAGAATCCATTGTCCTTTTCAATAAGTGCAGCAAAGGTTAGTGTCTGCAAGAAACTGCAGAGTTGAAGGCACAAAGAGGTTCAGAGAGAATTTCCAGATGAATCATCGCTCGTCTTATCTTGATTACAGTCATTAATAAAATAGACAGATCATGCCATTAACAGTCAGCGACAGCTTCATTTAAGATCACTTTTTAACTAGCTGTACTTTAAAGAGCATAATGTACATTAACATATAATCCTGAGTTTCTTTAGACACTCAGGGACACAGGTAACACATCAAGAGCTGTAAGACTCGAAGCCAAAAAAGTGCAGTTCCTTGAGTGGCCACCGGAGGCTTGCCTCAGATGCGAGTCAATCTGTTACCTTTTTAAACACACGGTATGTAAAGTCTGCCACAAGGGAGCTCTCCTAACAAGGTCACTGTTACAGTTCATGTTTATTTGTAAGCACCTTTCTGGACACACAAGGACACTGATGTTGTTCTGTTCGCATATGACGCTGAGGAGCAATAAACATTTCCATGGGAAACAGCGAGCTCCACCGATCAGAAACATGGCTGTGACACTCTATGATTGTGGGGAGTGTAGTTCTTTTCCTTGATATCGTGAATACACTTGTTTTTCTTAAAACCAGGTTGATATCATATGAACTTGTTTCTCCTACAGGAGAATAAACCAAAGTTTTACACTCAGGTAGCTCATGGTAAGTCTGCCTTGGATGGTAATGACATTGTGGCTAATAATCAAATCCACTATGAAGAAAATGAATGGGAGTTTTGCTTCCAGAACCACACTGTTTAGCCCTAATAGCAGGTGTGTGTTCCTATTTTAACAATGACTGGCTCAATCAGTGTTCTTGGTTCTTGTTCACTGGTTTATTGTAGTAGGCAGTGCGTAGGACTCTGGGGTTTTCATTTCGCTTTCCCCCACGCAGAAGAAGTCTTTCAAACAGCATCAAACAAATGTGTGTTGTCACAGTGGCTATGTCCTCTCACTAACTACAGGTCATTGTTAAACTAACTTCAGACAACGCTCTCCCATGGGAATGACAACCTTCTCATGTGAAATGGCAACAGAGACAATCAGAGACTTACCCACTGTGAGCTGACCGGTCAGCTGGCCTTGTTCGTTTCTGACGTTCAGCGTTACATTCTTCTCTGACTGTAAGACCAGCATGCTGTCCTAGGGGGAAGTATGAATTGGGAAGGCGAGAGACGAGAAGAGAAAGAAAGAAAGTAGAAAAATAATTGTGTTATATTAGAATTGTTTTTCTTTCCATAGGTAGGAGATTGAGTCTTGCGTAAGCAAATTATTTTTCGTTATCGTTGAGATCGGGGAGCCGGTTGGTAACACCAGTAAAAATGAAAGGTGTATCAATCCTGAATCATCCCTAGAAACCACATAAAGAGGGACTGTTGGAGAAGATCTCTGGCTAACCAACAACTTTGACTTTTCTTGGAAGTCGTGTCGCAGCTGTAACAAGATATCAACACAACAATGACCGATTTCCCCTCATATGGCTGACACAGGCAAACCTGGCTGCAAACTATTGCTTCTTTATAAATCCATCATGTGGTGCAACATCGACATATATTTGGAGTTAATATATAATCTCCTTCTAGCTGCGAATGCTCCTCGATGTAACCTCTCTTACATTACACAGATGATTGAATCATTCATTGTCAATTTCACATTTTTGTTAGAGCAGTTATACGCGGGTCATTAGTTCCATATGCTCTAAACTAACTGCAAACCCCGCTGTGTGTCTTTAGTGGAGGTGGTGTTCTTCATTTTGCTCTTTAGTTCATCACAGAAGTGACTCACTAATTAAATCCACTGACATATTGAATTTGGATTCCTTTTTGTCGTATTAAATCTGTTCGCATTCAGTCATAGGAGTCGTATTCAAGCTGGTGTTTTCTAGGTGTGATGAACTTGATGCTCTCCTTAAAAAAAAACTAGGGATAACATGGTAGCAGATCATCCGAAGTGTGTGCAGTGTGTATCTTTATGGAGGTCATTCGGTTCATTTTGATTCCCCTGCTTGCTCTCTCTAGCTCATCCTGAACAAAAGTTCTCCAGGAAGTACTGCGTCGCGGAGAAAATCCGAGTTCTTGATTTGAAGTCTACTTTAAAGAGTTTAAAGGTCTTGAACCGTTTCCTGAGGGGGGCCGTGACTGAGATGCTGTTGCTCTCCTCAACACTTCTTTGGGATCACATGAAAGACTTTTTAGTCGACGCGCCTGTTGAGGAAGGTCAAGTGCGGATCAGAGCGAATGAACATAAATGGAGCCTCTTGTTGAAGGTGCACTGGGCCCCGTCAGACTGAGAAATTACCATGGCTGCTGTAAGGCAGAGGATGCTTCCCTGCATACAATGAATAACATCAGAGCCCATACGCAGGAGCACGGCCCGCCGCTCCGATGAAATAGCTGAAGACAAAGCTAACTCGTCACTGTACTGTCGTCCTGAGAGCAAAATGAAATGCAGACCTTAAAGTGGAGGAGAAGAAGGGCACTGCTCTGGGTTTAAACTATAATCCTACACACATATTTGCATACATACATACACATTTTCAATTATATTTGATTGTTCTGCCAGCAGCTCATTTTAATACTGAGCTAAACAAGAAAATATAATGACAAAAAAACATGTCACAAGTTGAAAATGTACGCCTATTATGTCTTAATTTTCTCATTTTAAAATCAAATCCTGCAGGCAAGCTTTCCACGCGCAGGGTACCGGCTGTTTTGGGACATGTTTGAAGGAATATTTAATAGTTTTCATATTAAAAAGGGCCTCTTTATTTCAGTTTAATACTGTTAGCTAAATTAAATTGGCTCCAGAGAACTGGGGTTTGACGGATGTTCAGATCTCTGAGGCAATGCTGCTGCTGCTGATCCAAAAAGCTTTCATTTAAAATTGTGAGAATGAAACAAGTGAATGGCTTCGGTTGCATCAGCAGACTGGAATTCAGATCAGCGCTGGCGCTAACAATGATCTTTGCCGTGCGTCACTAATGCAAGTAGGTGAGACTGAGTGAGAAGTTTCACCCCAATAAAGATACACCTGCAACTGATGCTATTAATAGCTCAGTCAGGGTCCCCGGAGATAATAACCAGAGCCAACAGTCTGAACAGCAGAGATTTAATTTTTGATTTTTTTTTTTTTTAAACGATCTGGGCACTGTGTTGCCTCATACAGCGATGTGCGTCAGAATTAGACGGAGTTCAAATGAAAGAAAATGCGTTTTAACTTGATTTCAAAGCGAAGAGAAAAAAAAAACGTTTATAAGATTACCACAAGGGGAAACATTCACTTTGCCATGAAACCTCTTAATAAAGCTTACTCACACTAATTCAACTTGGTGTTTCACCCTCCCTGGGTGATGTTTTTAAGGGAGGGTGATGTGTGTTTTATTTTTTTTAAATAAAGGCAGCAGATGTGCATAAACAGTCGAGTTGTCACATTGCAGTCCACAGATATCCAGTCCCCTTTGTTTGTAGATTTGGAGACCTAGATGGTGTAACTAAAGCTGTTTGGACGTCTCTGGCCTCCTGCCTCGTTTTACGTCCTCGCACTGTTTGCATCGGTTGTTCTAAACCATGTGCCATCGGATCAAAGGCTGCAGGCTGCAGGCCAAACAGACGAGTTACTGATTCCTTTTTCAGTTGAGTTAAATCAGCTCCTGCAGTTCTTCACATAAATAAAACACTTGTGTCTCTGCAGTTTATGATTGATATTAAAAGGAAGAAGTTCATTTAGAAAACAGTGAAAACAACTCATCAGAGTATGCTCCTCTAAAAACACAATAACCCATTCTAACTTAATTTGATCTCTGTTGTCCCTAAGAGACAAAGAACATTATTATACGATGTAGGGAAATAAACAGGAAGGATTGAATCCAATTACTTAAATATAAACTTTCTCCTTTGTGCTTTCCATTTAAAGATTCTGTGAAATAATAAAAATATATTTTAATAAACTCTTGACTTGAATAGCAGCATGGATTTTCAGACTTATACATGTAGTGACTTGGGCTAAAACATAGTCAGATAAAACCTTTCATGACAGTTTAAATAAGGAAACAAAAATCTTTGAACAAACATTATTTGATCCACCCTGTTTGAAGTTCCTGTGTGAGGGACAAAGAACAATATGTCTACTGAAGAACTTCAAATTTCACTTGCCAGAAAAAAGAAACTTCATAATTTCAAGTAAACACAGACATTTCCAGACTTATTTCCCATTCCTGAAATATCCACTGTATTGTGACTTTCACAGCTTGAGGTGTAGGCTTTGTGAGGCATCATATGCTTGGACATTCAAGTGTTAAGAGGATTTTAAACACTTGATGTTAAGGTTGTCCTCTTTTATGTCATAACAGAAGGTGTGCGCTGACACTGAGCTACCTGTGTGAGCTAACAGGTGGAGGAATGGATGTACAGATAGAAAGACATGCAGGAGAAGCCTGCAGGGTGAAGAAAATAATATACAGAATATCCATCTATCAATCTTCCTGTCGAGGTGAGACAGACATCTCAGCACAGCTATAACTGAGAGCTTCTGCAAAAAGAGGCCAACATTAGTAACACATATTAAATCGATGGTAGTATTGAGTGTCTGTAGTCTCGTGTACACTTGACCCTTAAAGCAGCAGCGCCATTCAAGGCCCCAGTGTGAAAGCAACAATGGCACTCTAATTTTGTAAGAGTTGGAAATCATTACTGTACTGTACTGTGCAAACTGATGCCGAATCAGAAGTTTTAGAGAGGAAGCTGTGAGCGCCCGGGCTCAAACACAGCAGGCGCACAGCAGGCAGGAAATGTGACGCATCAGCATGAACACTCCTGCCTGCTTTTTGCAATCACACTGAGGAAAATAAAGGGACATATAACCCAGTGTAAATACTCTGTATAATACATGGTATTACATGAGGCCTCAGTGTTTCAACATGATACTTTGATGGGTAAGGGTGGGATTAGCAGAGTGACTCAGATACAAAACTAAACAACAAGATACTTGGCCAAGAAAACTATAATATCATGATACAGAGACTCTGCAACAATTGATATATTGCAACATCATCTGCCATTTCTAAAGACATTATAGGCTAAATTGTTAGCATCTGTAGTCCATTTGCATATCTAGTCAATAGTAGCAACAGGTGCCTGCTGAAGTCTGTGCTGAGTCGGTCGGATCAGTAACATTGTGAGCTTTGAAACCAAAACAAGCTGAAAGACACAAAATTCCTACAAAGTTGAAAGAAACAGAAAAGCTGGATGATAATCCTCCAACAGTTCGACACAACTCTGAAGCCGATCAAATACATTTTTAGATGAGGCCAGCTTCAAGAGGCAATAGAGTCAATACTGCTGTCGAGTAATATTTTAGCCTTTTTGTTCTCAATTATTTTTTAGCTGGGCAGATATCCCAATGAGTGTAAACTGTATTTTCAAATTTAGCAGCTCTCCTGTCACAACACAATACAGAGAGTGCTGATTTAAGGGGCCACTTGGACTCTAATTTACTGCCAGCTACCAGAGCTCCTGCCAAAACCACTGAGGGAGCTATTTCCACTTGGTATTCACAGATTACAGCTTCAGTCATTGATGAGGTTTCAAAGTGCTGATTGATCAAAAGGAAGTGAAACTAAAGCTACTTTGAATCCGGCGCTGACAGCAGCTTGGATTCAGCAAACATATAAAAGAGAGAAATCATGCTATATTTAACTTTAAGATACCTGGGGTGCACTACTGAGGTCATTGCTGTTTGTGGTAATGGCTTATTGATCAATGGTGGTTATCTGACTGAGGAACAGCACGGTGCACTGTGCTGTACACTCATTGGATAACCGTAATCCCCCTCGCTCTTGCAGTGCTTGACATATTTCCTCAGGTGAGAAATATCGAGTGACCCACAGAGATTTTTGTCCTGCAAATATCTCTGGTGCGGGTAGATAAGGGGGCCGGTGCACAGCACGTCTGTAAAACAAGACAATAAAAATGTCTGCAGGTAGTATTGCACCGGGGAATGAAATATTGGCTTTGTTTAGTGTTGGGCTTGGGTGTCAGCTATGGCCTTGAGGTGTTTTCTAATGCTAAGCGCACAGCTGTTTTATTCAAATCACCACTTAGCTCAGAGTTGGACATCAAAGTCCAAGAGTGGGCTATTCCGAGTTGTTTCTCGATCCTCTGTGGCGAATTGTACCCCACTTCCTCTGTCGACATCCCTCAAAAAAAATCAAATTTACATGGAACCCCGGCTTCCAGGGCTTGAAATTGCTTTCCGCACCATGCCTAATCACTTGAAAAAGGGGATGATCCAACCGAGTGTCTGTGTGTCGTGTGGGAGAGGAGAAATTTGGATCAACTTTGCGCTGGAGCTGTGTTGGTTAATCTACTGAACATCAAAGAGGAGAAAGAGGAGAGAGAGAGGAGGGAGGGAAGTGAGAGAGGGGAATTTATTGCGTGGGCTTGATTGGATATCCAGTGGGGCGGGGGGGGGGGGGGCTGTGGTCCTTCTGTAAATGCCTGTAATCTCCTGTAGGGTTTGTATGTGGCCTGAGAGGAGCCGAGAGGTAGCCTAATACCCATCTCCGGCCGATGGGAGGACCTGATAGTGCGCTGTGGAGGGGGACAGGAAATGAGGAGGAGAAGGATGTGGGGAGAAAGAGTGTCTATCCAAGCACAATATAAGTTAACATCAAAGTATCATCAAGCCAGAGTTCAGGGGAAGTTGGCCTTTGTTGTTAATGAATTGATCATAACTTCCTCACCGCTCAGATCAATATCAGCTTGTCTGCAGCTTGGGCGAGATCTTCACACGGGTTTCAGTCGATGGTTGTTACACCGAGTTCATCATTGCTACAAAGTATTGATCAACTAGAGGCGAGGTGCGAGTTGTGGAAAAGAGTCAAGGGAGCAACTTACCCTCCTGGACTGGATCTCGCTCACATACAGAGGCAGGACAAACTCAGAGATCCCCTCCAGGTGAATCCCGTCCGGGTTCAGCTGCAGGTTCCCCATCCCGTCCTGAAACAAACCAGGACAATCAGTGAGGCTGTGACGAGCACTGCCGATTTTTCCTGTTTTAACTCTCAAGGATTATCTCTCCCTGAATGCATCAAAAATTGGAATCCCGCTGTCACTGAACTGCATTAGGAGGAGGGCACGGAGGGCCGGTGGAGGGGCGGCAGAGCTGAGTGACAGTGAGAAAGTAGGACATGACATGGAGGTGACAAAGCGCAGACACTCGGAGGTGTCAGGGTGACGAGCGGCATGCAGGGGGAGGCGGGCTGAGGAGAAGCAGGCTAATGTGGCAGCTGTGAGATGAATGTTGATGACCAAGAAAGTATGGTCAAATATATTTACCAGAGGCTTTGTGGATTATTATTAACACTTCTTTAAATTGTTGTGTTACAAGAAATAACTTAAAACCTCAGAAAGCAACAACATCAAAAGAATTGGACTTAAATATAAAATAAATTTGAACTTGTACTGTAGAACAAATCCTGTTTACATTACATTTGTGCCGACCATTACAGTTCCATATTTCAGAGGCTATTTCCAGGTTCACTGGTACATTTCAGGAAACTGAGGCATATTCACTGAATTCTCCTGCTATGACAAGTCAAAATATCCACCATTAAAAACACAGCGTCATTATGTTGTGTAGTTAAGAAGTGGACATACAGAAAGACCACTATGCTGCATTTTATCTAATGGCCAACAGGCGATGACTCCACTTCACGATTCGTCTTTTGCCTCACCAGACATTTTTCTGGCCTGTTTATGGTCTCAATCTGCCGTTTCAAATGTTCTTCAAAAAAGCATGATTCATATTTCTTAAATCATTTTGCTATTAAGAGTAAATCTGATGATGAATCTGGATATGTGTCTAAGGACTTGCTAACTGTGTTCGAGAAGAAGTTACCACGGCAACTGTCAACCACAATAGAGAAAGAAGAGGATAGAAGTTAGATGTCATCAGTTAACATTAAGATTGATCGGATCAATCCTAATTGAAAAGTAAGGGATCATCCCTTACTTTTCAATTTCAACTGAAAAGATTTGATTCAAAAACACATTTTCAAAACCCTAATAAAAAATAATTTCCCTTCAACACATTTTTTTCATTCAGGAAGTGATTTGGGTGGTAGATAATTCAGAAGGAATCCACAAAAGGTTATGCCATGGTACACGTCAGTGAGCAAAGTTAGTTTGAGAGCCTCTTTTGTGTGCGTGAATGGGATGTGTGTGAACAGATGGGTTCTGATGGACGTGTTGGTAGAAGCCATAGTGCTGGCAGCACAAATGGATGGAGATAGTGAATTATAGAGGCAGAGGAGAGCTCCACTATACGTGGTAGAGAGAGACAGGACGGGGGACGTATGGGAGGACAAAGTTGTGGAGGCGGTGGGTGGGGAAGTGTGGAGCGCTTTGTGTGTCAGCAGCCAGACGGTAAAGTCACTCCTGTGCTGAAGTGGAGGTGATGTGGTGGGAGTGAAGGGTGTGTGAAGCTACAGTCAGTCAGACGTTTAGGTGTGAGACAGCAAAAACAGGAGGGCGTTACGACAGATCAGTCGTGACTCGCTGAAGGCCTAGGACGAGCTCCTCGGCATTGGTGGGTGAAAGAAATGAAAAGACACAGGCCATGATTATGTGGTGGAAAAATGACAACTAGAAGATTCAACTTTGTCTGGTTTAAAAGAAAAGTGCAGAGTCAAAGAGATCTGCCAAGGACCTGCTGTCCTTCACAAGGAGACAGACGTTTAAGTGTCCTTTTCTGAAACACAGGGATCCTCCTTGTGCCTGTACAACTTTACAAGGCGACTCTTTGCTAATGCTTTGATCGAGGACAGCGCTGTAAAGTTGGTGCAGATACAGAATTTTACATCAGTTATACTTTAAGACAAGACCCAGAAAAACAAACAGGCAATGTCAATTTGGAGAAACCAGCTCGGAGAGTATTTTTTGTTAAGGTACAGAGAGGTGCCTTAGTATTGAAGAACTTGTCTCTAAGCTGTCACGATAAAAATGCAAATTTGATTTGGGTTAAATGGTTGAAACTCCACTATTTTAAAGTAGGAGGGCATGGTATTGGAAGACATTTTAAAATAAAGATATGTGGGATCACTAGTGTGCACCTTTAAAAAGATTTCACTACTTTTCTGTGAAACACTTGAGAGTCAGGCGGTAGTAATAGCTTCAGGTTAACTTGTTCATTCAACAGATGTCAAGATTTTGGATTGCTGTAAGTGAAAGGTTGAGGGCTCTAATAAGAATATTTCAATTCCACAATGTGAAACTGTAAAAAGTGGAAATGCCCAATGGGTTAAATACTTTTGCAATGTACTGTAGTTACCGTAAGCCTGGGCTATGAAACAAATGAAAATAACAAGAGGCGGCTTGTATTATTTTCAAACAAAACAGCAAAAAATAGAACAGACTATCAAACTGTGAATTTACCCCTGAACGAATATTTAACTGTGCACATAACTAGGATGATTTGGTCTTGCTTTGTAAGACAGCACATCTTTCCCAACCTGCATATGATACAAACACTAGATGCACACGGCCCTCTAATTGAGATCTGCCTTTATTTGTGCGGCAACACCGAGCTAGTTAAAGGGGCTGGGCTTCAGATTGGGATGAGATAATATTTGAAATTTCACAGTATTATTCTTTTTTTAGTAATTTGCTACTTATTGAAACCAGATACAAAAACTTTTTTTAACTGAATCCATGGTGAGACTTAAAAGGTTACTCTACACAAAGGTGCATTAATAGGCTTTACACCAGCAGAATGTTAGTGAAAGAAAATCCTGATGACTCCAACTCTGATTTGCAAGGTCGAAGCAGACATCAACATTTTCTCCCCACTCAGTCGCTCATAATTATAATTTGAACCATGTGCCAAGAGTGAGGCAATTGACATGGCAGGGGGGATGTAATAATAAGATTAAATGCAGTGTGGGAAATGTAGGATCATGCTTTTTTTGGAGCTTGACCAGAAAACAATGCTCTCATGCCAGAGGCCCCCGGAAAAATGATAATACGACCAATCCAGCAGGGTGTAGTTTGGCATGTGTTTTCTTATTTAGCTGCCCGTGTCCTCAGAGATGGGGAGCAGGAAGTACATTTTCTGGAGCGACACCAGCAGCACTGATAAGGTCTTTTGCTCGCGACACAGATTGATGGGAGGCAGAGGAGTAGAGGAGTGATAGCAGGAACCCGGGGACGCATCGGTCACAGAGGGGGGATGCTGCCATCCCCAGTTTGTTGACAAAATGCTAAATTGTGTGCATTGTCCCTGGAAATGTCAGAGGAGCTCGCAGCAGCTGCCTGTTTGGTTTTCCGTTTGGAGATTAACAGGCACTGTGTCAGTCGGGCTGCTGCCGAGTCTTTTGTGATTCTTTATCAAATCCAGATGAGACAAAGTGCACAACATGAGATGATGCCTGTGACACATTGAGGATTCTTCCTCTGAGACGTCGTATTAAGGTCAAAGAGAGAAATCAGGAGACGTCCTTGACTACATTACAGTGAATTAATAAATGCTGACTTTAGAAACGGTCAAATACGCAGATCATTATTGAGCCCAGTGTTGAGACCAAAGGTTTTTCATCATCTCAAATTGATCTCATTTTGTTTAATTCACAAATCCAGACTTTTCCATAACCGAAGCACACCCTTAATGTTTCGATTCATAACAATGTGATAAGTTTGATGCAGTTTTTAAAGAGAAATCTAAACTAATGATTTTACGATAAATGTTAAGTTGCTTTTTTTTTTGTATTCATTTTGGAAGCCTAGAAGACTTTCGGAGGAAGACCCTTTCACATTACTAAACCAAACTTAAAAATCAATGTACTGTTTGTTTCAGAGGAAGATTCAATTGTTGGCATCACTTTTTCTGGGCTTCTGGTTGAGTTTTTATGCACTTGTCTTCCTCCAGCCACTCAGGCTCCTGCTTTACTAGTTTTTCTCTTTCATTTTGATTTGATGTTTTTGTAATTGAACATTTTTAAATCTGTTCATTATTTTATGTTACAGACTGATTTATTCTCCTTTTGAAAGTTGGCAGAGAGAGAGAGAGAGAGTGAGAGGGAGAGACAGACAGAGAGAGAGCGAGAGAGAGAGAGACCTCTTTAATTTTGAAGAAACATAAAACTTAATTTGAATTCAAAATCAGCATTAGCCCCCGAGTGAAGGATGAGAAGTCAAATTTTTTTTTTTTTTTCCACCTTGATATTTCAAACTTTAAAATTTCGTTAGAAAATTTACTGTAAAACTCATTTTTTTATCATTGTTGGACCAGAAACTGGCAAAACGGGAACAGTGCAAACATATGTGGTGATAAATGTTAAACATCTATTTTGAGTTCACAGGAACTTGTATAGCCCCAATACATAGATTATTTTCCAAGAAAGAACTGCCAGTCTTTCTAACATTGAATATCACATTAACAGACTGTTCACACATCAATAAACTGCAGCTCAGGACCTTCACTTGTGAAGTTGTTGCATAACTAAATGTTAATGCCTAACAGACTTGCTGAACTCACCACAGAGAAATTCATGACCTTCATGATCCACACCGTGAGGGCCAGGTTAACGATCATGGTGACCAGGAGTAGCAGCAGGAAGAAGTACAGGCCTCGCTTCCTCCAGCCGTACAGTCCCACCGGGTACACGGCATCACAGCCGGGCCGCTGGAGGTGCAGGGACTGAGACGCGAGGATAAACTGCTCCTGGGTAATCTGGAAACAAACACAAACATTCTCATACATCTTTAAGTTGGCTGTCTGTCAAGGATAGATGCACACGTCAGGAGCATATACAGATTGTGAGATGTTGTTACCCTGCCAGCCCCACTAGAACAGACTTTAGGCTGAGGCATGGATGTTATTCTACCCTTTCTTTAAAGAGTGGGAAGGGGATAAATGCCTTACTACTACAGCCTGAAACATCCATACTTCTTAAATATATATGGTTGGAAGAGGAGATTTTAGTCAAATAAACTAGGCAATGTTTTTATTTTGAGGAAAAGGCTATTTTTTAGTTTGTAACTTCAACAAAGACATTTCATCGGCGCTACATACTTTCAGAAATTGAACAAGTGGCAGAGTCATTCATCATCCTCTGTGCCAACAAGACAAGGTCACTGGGTGAATTTGTTTTATTAAAAAGAGATAACAAGTCAAAGTGGCTACTCTGGGGGAAATCATACATTTGGTGTTTCTTTTTCTACTGCAGAAAAGAGGACACATTACTTAAGAGTCATCATTGACAAGCTTAGCCATCAGCAGTAGAAATAACCGGCCCTGAATGGGAAAGGCTCTGAAATGTTTTATTTATATTTATATTTATATTCAATACACAGAAATCTGCAGGCAAATCTTCACACTTATGGCCTCAATCATAGTGATTTAATGTAAGTTACAACCTGAAAAACAAGGTCCTTGACTTTTCTGCTCACATTGAAACTTCGAATTAATTTGTATAGATTAAATAACATGTCACAGCTTTGTTGACAATACTAATAGCTTGTTGACATTCTGTCAAACTGGATGCCCGTGTTCCCACACAAAGTGGCTGTGAATGATGGCTTCCTGCAGGCGGACCTGTTTACCGCGCCCCTCTGGCTGGGATCTTTAAAAATGTTGCTGCCCATCAATATTTTACATGCCATCGGGCACTAAGCAGTTTTTATGATGCTTTATGAGGTATAAGAAACTTACGCAGTTCATGATTTGAATCAGAATGACTTCTCTCTCCCCTAAACAGTCTTCATATTCGGAATACCACATTATGAACAAAACAGAGATTGCTTAATAAAAAACAGGAGGTGGATTGTGACAGAAAGGACCGTTCTGGTGCCAAAGAACTGTTCTCCACCCGAGCGGAGGATTTGCAGCCTCTGGGGAGCTCCTCCATGGGAGCTCTGATCTGAGATCAGAGAGGACGATGTCTGTCAAGCGGGCCCGTACAGGCGAGGGCGAGCAGTAGCTGTTCTCCAGCCGGTTGTGACCGCAGGCTGAGGGTGTGAAACATCCCGTCACTGATCTGCTCTGGTGGCTGTTGTTGAAATCAAACTGAGGCGACCTGTGATCTCTCTCTCTCTCTCTCTCTCTCTCTCTCTCTCTCTCTCTCTGACAAATGTTAAACTTCAGTAAATCAACATAAATTCCTCATACTCCCAAGAAGCAATTATTAGTTTATCCTGCCACAACAAAATGCTTTAGAGGCATGAAGCAAACATCCATTATAGACACACCTGTGCAGAGTTTTTCCCCAAGGACAGCCAAGAAGTGTAATGCATGCATAACTTAAGTCAGAATCCCTGACCCACATGCTTTATTCACACTCAGCATGTCATTAGCATATGACTCTGATGGCATACATCATTACATTGCATGTTTTCATGACAGGCTGTCATGAACCGAGGCAGAATAAACAAAGACTCTTCAGCTCAGCAAGCTAAAGGCATTTTCCAAAAGAATTGAACTCGACTGAGCCAGATCCTGCATCCTATGCTCCCCTCAGTGAAGCTGCAGCAGCTTGCTGACACAAGGTGTGAGCCTTCTGTCTGAATCTCAGCTGATGAGGTGATTATTATTATTATTGTTGTTGCAATCAATCGATGTCTCTAAAAAAGGCGAGCAGTTGATTCATTTTATTGATTGTAAATCTGCAGACGCTGCATATTGTTGTGGTAATTGTGTTACACTGTGTGTCTTGCAGTGTTGTGTATCAGCTGGTAGAAGACGGGGTGTGAGCGTGCCTCCTTTGAGCTGTGTGGGAATTTAAAGAAACACCTGCTGTTTAAGGCAGCCAATTTGTACTCGCATCTGGTTTTCTATTCTTTTAGTTCATTATCACTGGATGATTTCTCATTATCAAAATAAAGTGTCTTAAAATGTCGTAGATCACACGGTGTGATGTCAAACGTTTCGTTAAGCCCAGGAGGAAGTCCAAAATTGAAGCAGATTTAATTCACTCTCCCACTTGAGGAACAAACCTTTTTTTTTTTAAATGACTCGTCACAATATTTGCAAAGTGTGATGGAGTTTGTTGAGGATACACAACCCATGGTGGGTTATATTTGGAAAAATATGAGAAGTGCTTTCTGGGAAACCCCTTTAATCACTACAAACTGTCATCAGGTAAAACCAATCGCGACCTCCAGTCTTGAAAAATGAAGCCAATGCGGAAGTGCAAAATCCTGCAGTCCGTCGAGTGCCCACTTGAGGCTGGCTCCATGAACACCGGAAGTCAAAAAAGCGTTTTTTTTTTTTACAGCATTAATTAACAACTTTAAAGCCTGGTACAAAAATAAGGCTTCATCTTTAATATTTACAGTCTATGGGTAAAACCAATAACCTTTAAACTTAATTCATGAAGAAGATTTCCGCTTTTTGAGCTGCTCTTATTTTTAATTAAAATGTCAAAAGCAAAAATGAGTTAGTTTCACTTCAAGGTTGTTAGGCTGTGAAATATTCTCTGGCTCAAGCTTTTACTTTGGAATGATTTTCTGAAATCTGAATGTCTTCGGGGTTGAGCTTTGTATTGTTGATTGTGACAAAACAAGCTTTTCCAATATGTCACCCTGTGTTACTTGGAAATTGTGACTGGCATCTCTCACTGTTTCTTGTCATTTCAAAGATGAAAGAATTATGGATGATGATGCTTTAAGTAACGGCTGAGGAATCACTGAGACTAGTGAACCAACGTGAAGAATCATAAAACACTTAGCGGGATTATGTGAAAGTTCAGTCATTTATCATTTTACAGAGACATTAAGGTATGTTTGTGTACTTTTGTTAAACTTCCAGATCCTTCCTATTTCTGAAAGTGTTCCCTGAAAGTAATAATAACAATCATCGTCTAATAAGAGTCTCCCACAGCTCTGCTGCTTCATCCACACTTTAACAGACTGTTTCCTTGGACCGATAGTTTGCGTCGTGTCTGCAAGCGCTGGCAGATGTCTCACAAATGGGTGTTGCGACTTTGCAGCAAATACAAATGACCCATATCACTGGCCTAGAAATGTCAGCGCTTCCAATTTAACCAGCGATACAGTTGAGGGACAAGAGCATTATGAGAGGCGCTTACTCAGAGGCTGAATATAAACTCCATGCAGCGTCACACAAGACTTCTTTTACAACCACAACTTGGCACAAAGTTCAGTCAAACCACATCCTGAGATCATCTTCGAGACACTTTCAAATCTTTACACTGTAAGAAACATTGAAGAAAGACATCTTTAAAAGCACTATTTTATCATTCAGCCATAACCCTGCTGGACAAACTCAGCCTATTTCCAATCCACTGTTTCCAGGGGAAACGTCAGCACTTGTAATTTCTATGGCAACCCTGTGTGCCCAACCCTAGTGGATGCTGTGATTTCTTTGCAGGAGTTTTAATGCATACATTACAGCGGTCGAGTCGTGCCTCCTAAAGCGTGCTTATTCACAGAGCAAATGGAGGAGTGCATAGAAGCTGGCGTTTTGTCAATCCATCATTTCAGAATGCCGGTCACAGACGACTCACACACATACACGCCAGGCCCGACCGATGGAGATGTCTGACTGTGGCGTGTACGAGAAACAACTTTGACTTTTAAAATAACTAAATATTGATTACAAAAGCAAGCTGTGCAGCCACATAACACTATGCTGAGTCCTATTTGTTACTTTATGTCGGCTCCAGTAGGTGCGACAGATAACTCTGCATCAGTGGAAGGCAGGGAATTACTGGTGTCCATACTGTGGGTATTACCAATCCAAACTTCATAATGAATAACTTAGATTTTTAACAGCCCTGATAAACTCATAATTTGAAAAAGGAGAGGTAGAGCACTGCAAAAATTGACAAAAAATCAGATATTAACCCCTGTGAGTAATTTGATCAAATGCACTGATAAACATATCAAACATATTTGTTGCTGAGACGTATATTTGAGGGCATTTCTTCCATCCAGCCCAAATAGAATATAAATCATTCGAGTCACAAGAATTAGCAACTCAGAGGAGCATCCTGTAGCGAGCAGTTTCAAGTCAGTTTTGCTTCATGTTAAGGGGACATTTTGGGGTTTTTCAGGGTTTTTCTATGAGTTTTTTTTTTTTTAATCAACAGATGGTGTATTAACTAATATTTGTACAGCAGCAAATTAACATCTTGGGACACCCAGAAAAAAAAAAAACGACCCACCAGAAAAGCAAAAGTGGCAATATCAACCACAAATGTACACTATACAACTTCTGGGTTCGTATACATGCAGTGGAAAAGGACAAATAAACGAAAAGAAGCAAATGTGTGACTAAGACAGCAATGATGAAATCCATTCAGAGTGGAGACAAGAGGATTGTTTTATGAAGCCAAGTATTCCGAGAAACAAACTTTAGCTTTGGGAGGCGGACCAACAGAGAGAGAGGGTAAACTTTGTTTGGTTTGGGGGATTGTTTTGTTAATAATTCTGTCCTGAGGTAAAGCATTGCTCTCCAGTAAAAGTTTATTTGGTGTTTTTTTTTTAGTATTCATAAAAATAATCTGGGGTTGCTGGGTTGTCTCAGCTTTATTGCTGATGTTTGTATTCAGTGGAAGCTTCTTAGGCCTTTATCATTCAACGGTACACTGTGTAGTATTTATTTTGACCAGGACTAAAGCAAGCACCACCTTAGCCCTCTTAGTGAAGTTTGATTTCAGTTAAAGATTCAAAGTTCATACAAGTCAACTTCAGAAACTCTGAACTATCCCTTTAAAGGGGGCTAAACAGCGGGACACCACAGAGCAGGTCCACCAAAAAAATCCTTTCTCTCTAAATTCCAGTACCTGGGATGACTCCTGCCAACGACAGCTACTCCATTATCGCCTTATAAAACTATTATGTGTTCTCATGCATACTGTGAACAAAAAAACTCAGAAGAGGTTGTGTGAGATCAGGTGGAGTCTAACACCATTAATATGTTCACACACCAAATAATGAATTAGATTTCTCCTCACAAAGCGCGCACAGAAAGAGAGAAAAGAGAAGATCACTGAAGTATTATCTTTTCCTTCAAAGTGTGAAATTCACTTTAAAATGCTGCAACTCAATCAGCAACTTTGGTACAAGTTAAATTACTGATCCACACAACTTGAGTTCAACTTATAGATGTGTCCCTCCACAATCAATAAAAAGATAGTGAAGACATTGTGGGTATGAAACGTCTAACACTACATTAGTGCGACCTGTACGAAGAAATTAAAGTTAAAACATCAAATCTTTGCATTTGAACTACTATTTAAAAATCTATTTGGTTTAAGATGCATTGAAACACAATAGCTCTACTATATCTTTTTAACACTCCTTGCATAAATGTTCACATAATTAGGAGTCTGGAACTGAGAGTAATCTCAACCGCAAATATCTAATCCCCACATCACTTTTCTCTCCACTCAGACAACAAAGATGAAAACACCTTTTTCCAGTCTGCCCTCCTCATACAAACATCCTTGTTTCGGGAGAGCCGCTCTATCTACAATGAAATCATCACGACATGTTCGAGTGAGCTTGGAGACGAGTGTCAACAGATTATCACCGACAGATGGCCGTGAAATCTACTCAAAGCTACGGATGCTTTTCCACCTACAGTCCTGATTACATGCCGTTTCTATAAATAGAAAGCAGACACCCACGCCGTAACTTGCTTCTCTGAGACAATAAGCTATAAAAACTGCTTTCTCGGTAGATCATGTGCTGTGCTGGAAAAAAATTCAAGGAATTCGTTGCATTGCAATATTTATCTCTTTAAAAACCTACTTCATCAGTTCTTCTCAAGTTTGTGCTGAGATCTGTGTCACTTTACTTTTAGCGAGGTGAGGGTAGAAGAAGAAGAGGGGCACCTCTTTAGAGTTTTGACGTTACAGCTGGATAAGCCAAAGCCAGCAATTACACAGCAGTCCCCTCGCTGAGCCAGCAGGCCTCATCTTCACCAATTAGTGTACAGGTTGATATTCTACATGCTGTTTAAGATCAAACAGTTACATGCTGCAAATGCAGCAAAACGCAGCTGAGGAGCTCCTAATGAAAGAAAATGAGATGTTATCAACGCCTGATAGTGTTAATCAGCAAATCGCAGAGCGCTACCTCACTCAGCGGTGCCACAGGAGTCCCGCAGGGCCGCCTCAGCTGGAGGTAAGAAAACATTTGAGGAGCACTAATGACTGTGAAGCTCGTACTCGTTTCGTCCTGCTCGTGAACGCAGGACAATTGCTGAGGCAGCAACAGGGGGGGGGGAAGTGGACAGAATCAGGACATGGAGCATTTAAGCACCTGTTTGTTTAGGATTCTGTGGTTGTTCAAGTTTGACAGAAAGCCCAATCACAGGCACAGGGATGATTGAGCACACAGCTGTAACTGGATGTGCAACTCAATGCATCGACATAACCATTTCACATTTGGTTGATGTGACAATGAAGCATTTGGATGAGGCTGCTGCTGTCAATAGGCGCTCCACTTAAGATGTGAAATCCAATTTTTGTGGCTCCATCATCTCTGGTGGATGTACAATAGCAGAGCATCTCGTCGATGGCTTCATCTCACCCTGAAAGCAACAAAGTAAACCTCACTGTAAGGAGGAGACCGGCTGGGATCAAAGATCTCTAATATGTCCAGCACAAGGGAAAGGTTGCAGCTGTTAAGTCGGCGCGCAAACATCACAGACTGGTTTGAAGAGGGGTTTTCAGAGAGAATTTTTTTTTTTTTTTTTTTTTTTACATGCATGTCTGCTTTTGATGACATTTTCATGAAAGCATCTGCAACCTGGCAACGCAAAAGTATTGCAACAAACCTCTCTGCACCTCTAACCTTTGCATCTGTTGTGTCTCAAAGGTTCCCAGCCTCCGTCATCGCCCTCCTCGGAGTTGATGATGCTCTGGCAAACTGCTGATGTACACAGACAGACACTTCTCCACACTACACTAGCTTTCGCTGCTAATCCCTGAGCAAATCCTTGGAGAGCCTACGGGGCCATTTTGGACAGCACCCCGTAGGCGTCATTTGCATTCATCAGTTATATGGGGGGGGGGGGGGGGAGTAAACGTTATCAACACAAATAATGTCCCTCAAAAGTGGATTCTTACACTTGAAATCCAGGAGTATAAAAGCTGCTCATCAAAGGTGACAACTTGGCCAAAAAATAAACTTGCAGACTTGTCACTAAGTGGGAAGGAAGTGCTGGATCAGCTCAGAGCCAGGGTGAGCAGGAGTGATTTCTTGACTGATAAGCATGACCCACAGCTAAGCCTGGAGCTTTTTTGGTTGTGTGTACGGAGTGTGTGTGTGTGTGTGTGTGTGTGTGTGTGTGCGCGCGCTTCGGGTATGTGTGTGCAGAAGGCCAATAGATCGCCTTCAGTGCACACAGCCAAACAGTAGCTGTGCTGTGTGGGTTTCTGACACCGTGCAGCCTCTTTTCTTTTGCACTGCAGCACTGGAGACAAGATGCATTCACTGTACCCAGAGGTTACTGCCTCCCTTCACTACAGCCTGGAATGATAATGAGACACCATGCAGGAGGAATATTCATAAGCTGTCACATTACAGTGATTCTTCAAGAGGAAAATGCATAGACTATGAGATGTAGTGCAGGATGGGAGCTATGTAAAGAACTCAAGGAAGGCTTCCTGAGGCGTTTGAGCGCTGGTCAGCGGTTATTAATCATCATGTTTCCGCCTGGAGGGAGATGCAAACACTGCAAGACTTGGAACAGTGAGCAGACACTTCACATTCATCTTTAATTAGCAGGTTTTCTTTTAATGCAACAATTGAAGCAAAGGGTGCACCTGTTGCAGAAGAGCACTCAGGAGACGCACGAGTTTGAACTGCTGAATAAAACAACACAATACTCGGATCAATTATTCATAAACAGGTCCGTGAAGTACACTCAAATCCTGTCCTGTGCAGCAATGTTAATAAAACTCGTTGCGTCACCAATTTCACTAATAAATGTGTCTTTTTCAATTCAATTAAATAAAATAAAAAAAACTCACAATTTCTACATGGTAAGCTTACCTTCAATGTCTCTATGTCGAGAGTGGCCGACTGCTCCATGTTATAATCTCATTTGTCACAGTTACATATTTCCACAAAGTTGAAAAAAGCAAAAAAAAAAAAAAAAAACGCACGAAATTCAGCCCCGACGAGCGACCTGGTTAACTCTTCTTCTTTCCCATTTTAAATAAATAAATAAACGTATCCAATGTTAAAGGTAAGTAACACTGTTTAACTACATAATAACAATGCTTTAGTGATATGTTAAACCCATTACATTTGCTGTTTCTACAGTCCAAACTGGCTGCTGCACTCAGGTACTTTTCTTCCAGGCAGCTGATGAGACGAGTCGCTCAGCAACGGCGAGTCACACACAATGAGGCCATGAACATCCGGTTGTGACTTTCAAACTAAAGGTCTCACACGAATGCCTATATATTGGTTATTTCTCCCATGAGATGTTGCCGGTCTAAAAACAGATGCACTGTGCTTTATTTTGAGTGTTTATTTTGTTCGTCAACATTTATTATTCGCCAAGTCGGACAATGAAATTAGGCAATACCCCTTAAACATGAAATTGTAAATGATTTTTACTTCGTACACGGACCTGTATGCTGTTTTTCTTCTCTTCGACTTCACTGAGGGGACATTTCTTGTACATTTTTATTCCGTTATCTAAAATCAAACAAAAACTTAACTTGTAAATTAAGATATGTTGTTTTAGGTCAAGTTATTCAATCTATAAACAAATAATTACAATTTCTTCCTCGCCAGCTAAAACAAGTGATGTAGGCCGACATGTAGGTCATTATTATCATGTTGTATTATTCTGAAATTAACATCCGCATGATGTCTTCTTTTGACAGTAATATAGGCCTACATTTTGAAGCTATCTTATTTTCTTAAGTACATTTATATCATGCAAATGAAATAAACTATTATGTTTTTTTATTTGAAAGTTGGGTTTGGCAAGGTAGGAGTATAGGGTAGGTTAGGATAAAGCACGGTGAAGCTAAACCAGAAAAAGAAGAAGGCTAGGTGTATTCAGATCATTTAGTTGAGTAAAAGTTAAAATAGCATTGCCATAAAAAAAAAAAAAAATAGCGACTATCATCACATGTAAACCTTAATACACAAAAAATATTTAGTGGATGTGCAGAAGTAGCATAATAGAAGCATATATACTCTTTCCAAATTGTCTAGTAAGTGACATTACGCTCATGTTTATACTTCGGTTGTTATAATCACACAAAAAACGCATCTTATTCTGAAAAAAGGGTTGCGTTCAATTTCCTGTTTAGTCATAGTATAGTACTGTTGAATTGATACTAGTGAAATTCCTGCAAGAGGCGATGGATATGTTAAATACTTAGAAATATGTGATAGTGTCTCATATGTGACCACATTCAGCAGCAACAAAGAAAATCCCAGAGTCTCAATGATTCTGCATGTAGATGTCATATAGACCTACAGGCTCATTATGACCACCAAAACATTCAAATATGTTCATTCTCTGATTCATTTTTGGCTAAAACCAATTGAAATGTTTAATGTTGAGGAATATTGAAATTAATGTATGGTTTTCTCAAAATGCACTATAGTAGGCTAAATAGTAGCCGGCTCCGTTTCCCAATATTGGGTGTCAACGCACCCTGCTGGAGAAACTAGGACACTGCAAGAAAAGTATATAATGACTATAAAGTAGCCTATACTATATCTGTGAGTTAATTGGTCCCCTAAACAATATATATGTATATATGTATTAGTGGGGACATACTTTTTTTTAGTAATAAATAGAAGCAATAAACATATTTTTAAGCATTTAAGACTAAAGATCGATAAGTGTTATCTGGATAAAAGATACTATAACATTAAATTAAAACGTTACATGTATGTTTTCAACATTTCATTGCAGTAACCTGAACAATACAGTAGATGGCAGCAAAGTTTCATGCTGCATATTTTCAGACAAAGGCAATCAACCGCCGAGCTCCGGCTCTTTTCTAGGAATACTAATCAATTATCTAGCATTTTCGTCATTATCGCAAGGATGTCAGACGCCAAGCAAATCGCGGCACAAAAAAGGTAGATGAGCCTAATATTTACAGTCTATGAGATGAACATTTGTAAATATTGGAAAACATAGAAAACATTTCGTATTAAGGATTCATAATGTTTATTAATCACATATGGCGACACTCCTTTTTATTTGATGGCCTAATCATCTGCCTGTAATGAAGCATGTGGGCTGCTGGGCATCTTTGATTTTGAAATACATTTTCATCCTGACTTTCTTTGTGTTCTTGCAGTGCTAAGATAGCAGCTGGAGCTGTTGTGTGTGTTGAGAGTGAAATAAGAGGAGATGTGACCATTGGTGAGAAAATGTTGCTCTTAGAAGCAAACGCCATTTCTACAATTTTATTCAGCTGTTTATGTTTTTGGTTTTATGTTTTTTGTTGTATGTCACGTTTAAAATAGCCTATATCTATTTTTTTTTTTTACAGGTGCTAGAACAGTTGTCCACCCCAAAGCACGGATTATAGCAGAGGCTGGACCTATTGTCATTGGAGAGGGTAATCTAATAGAGGAGCAGGCGCTTATCATTAACAGGTTACACTGTGTAAATCAGCTCAATCCCCTATTTGATCTTTACAGCTGCACCTTATCTTACCTTTTTTCTTTTTTGTCTGCAGTTATCCAGAGAATATCATGCCTGATACAGAGGGAGTGGAGCCAAAAACCATGACAATTGGGACCAACAATGTGTTTGAAGTTGCATGTGGTATCCTTTGCAATGCAAATAACAATGTGCAACCACAACTGCGGTGGAGTTGGAAATTATATTACCAAAGGGCTAAATATATCTTTCAGGACATTTAGAAACAGTATTGCAATTACACAGTTTGTCCACCAGGGAGCACTGACATTATCTTCGAAATGTCCCAATCAGGAAATAACTAAAATATTTTGGCAAAAAAAATAAATAAAAAAAAAGTCATGTCTTATGTTTATAGCCTTAATGTTTGTGCCACAGTCTCTCAAGCGTTAAAAATCGGGGACAATAATGTGATTGAGTCCAAAGGTAAGTACAGCAATTACTTACTGTAATCCTATTAGAACTGTGCATCATGGAAGATATATTAATGTATTTGCTAGTTAGGATATAAAACAGATAGTGACCGCTGTGTGAGCAGCATGGCATTATTGATCCATTTATATCCTTTCACATTAACCGAATCCCGTTTTAGTATTTCTATTGTTTAAAACACAAAGTTGTTGTATCAAAAACGCAGCTGATCTTGGGAGAAACGTGATCCTGACCAGTGGGTGCATCGTCGGCGCATGCTGCCAGGTCAACACATGTGAGGTCGTGCCTGAGAACACAGTCGTGTACGGTTCAAACTGCATCAGGCGCGTGCAGAGCGAAAAGCCACAGGTCAGTCTCCACAGAGTTCTTGTCTAAATGCCCCGTGAGTCACAGAAGTTTTGTTTACCAGTGTGCAGATGCGTGTTAACAGAGGATGGCTTTTTTGTCTTGCAGCCTCAGACTCTGCAGCTGGACTTCCTCATGAAGATTCTGCCAAACTATCACCACCTGAAGAAGACAACCAAGGGAGGCAGCACGCCTGTGAGGAACTAAGATGGAGTGATATTAAACCTTAAGCCTCTGCACACAGGCCGACACCTTTCTCTCAATTTTCACTTCTCTTACACTTTAGTGTTGTTCTTTAATGTCTTGTAGAATACCTCTGACCCTGAAATGACTCTATTTTTCTTCCTGTATGTGAGGAATGACACCATTCTTTAGCACTTGTGAAAATATCTTCCATTTCACTTTGCTTACTTATCAATATTTACACTATTTGTGATACATTTTCAAACTTTCTTGTGCCATTTTATTGATAATACCCACATATATTTATCAATGCACCAATAAAGATACATTAGTATTGAAATAAAGATTATATCAAGAAGCTTGAATTACTGCAAGTGTTCTTTTAGTATGTGGCCACAAGGAGATGCTATTGAGCAACAGCTTGTACAGCCTCTGTACTGCCTGCATTTAGGGCTTTGTTCCATCAGGTGATACAAAACAACCAATTAAAATAGCATTTATTTATAATACGTCTAAAAATATCAATATTATCATGTTCTTTGTCCTTAAAATAGCCATAAAAGGAAGCTTCTAGGCCAGAGATTTGCATGTGCATTGGTTAACTGTGACTGCAAGCAGGTTTACATATAAAGAAGTACAATCACGGAGAAGAGAAAAAAAGATATGTTTGGGTGTGGTTATCTCCATCTTGGATCCAGTGTGTTGTTAGTCTTGCACCCACCCACCAGTGGATGCTAAATTGGTGCCCTGGGTACAGTGGGAATTTCACACAATGCCTGGCTTTTTCTAATTGACATGGGTGTGGTGGCAACTTGCATTTCCGCTGCAGCATGGGTCTGAATTATCCCCCCCTGGTGCCCCCTCTTCCTTCTTTTCTTGTTGAAACCCCTTTGGTGGTGCGCCCATCTGTGGCCCAACCTTTCAAATTTTGCGTGTGGATGGATTCAAATGCGGTGGTCATCTCTGCCTTAATCACCTGACAGAAGAAGTTCAGACGTCACTTTTAACAGTTGTTTCTTTGAAACTCTTGTGGCTGTAAAACAACCTCAAGGCTGCTGCTCTTCAGGGTTTACAGGGTTTGTTTTTAATGCTCGGTGGGGAGGGCGCTGCACAGGACAGCAGCTCCCTGTAGGAGGCCCACAGCTGGTGTCGCACACTGCCAATACTCATTTGAACATGTCATGGTGGAGTCCCATGAGGAGTCCACATCAACCAGGGGCTAATTATTTCGGCAGTGGAGTGCAGCAGGGGCCACTGCTAGGCTACTTTCCGTTCGCACTTCTCCTGTTTCCCCCCCCTCTGCACTACCATCACTTGTATTTTAGGATGTTGCCAAAGCATCAGTTTACTTTAATATGACAAGTAAGACAGATGCTGGGCACAGTTGCACGGATGTGAAGAGTGACAAGGACCTCATGGGGGCCGAGTGTGGCCTTAATCTGCGGTGGGTTTTTTAGAGAGGCAAAATGGCTATGATGATAGCAACTCATGGCAAGAATTTGAAGAGGAAGTTCAAATGTTGTTCTATATTTGGAAGCAGTTATTTATACCTCTCCCTTACTGTAGTGTTGTGAAAATGAATTATCCAGCTCACACTTGTTTTTGAAGCAAGGGGTTTGTTCTTTTCTTTTATTATCATTATCTTAAACTAATATTTAAACTCTGCTAAAATATGTAGTATTCTTCTATAACTTAAAATGGTCTTCTCATATAAAAATATAGAAGAATGAGATTTGAGTTTGTAATGCAGCACTTGATACTGAGGAGGTTGCTGGACAATGTAAGTGAAGCACAAATAAACCCATACTATTCATCTATACATAGAAATCTATCAAACAAAGCTTATACAAAAAAGGGAAAAATACATCCGTTATTGATCTTTGATGCATTATAATATCTTTGTTTTTTCAGTAGCAAATACAGCTCAAGTCCCGCTGTTGTCCACTGCAGTCAGTCATGGTCATACAGGCCACCAGTTGGTTTGGGAGGATAAAGGCTTTCTGACAGCTGACCTTTGCATCCAGGTCCACTCCACCTTTGAAAAGTGAAATGTGACCTATAGAGCACAGTGATTTCCATTGCAATCCAACTGAAATTATTAATTTAATCACAACGGGGACTTTGAAACACTGGATATCATGAGCTTGTAGCCATGTTATAACAGCATAGCTCTGTGTTTGTATGGCAATGTTTTTTGGTTGGTATTCAACTTTGGTCTAAATAACCATGACTGTGGTTTAATTTTTTTACTATTTGGTCATCCGACTTCTCATCGGGCACTGCTATTTGTTCTATTATTTTAGTATAAAAAGAGAAATCTTATATATGAGGTCTGCTGATCATTGAGTTTGAAGCACAAATTCAAGCCCCCTCCTGAATAAATCAAGTAGTTTAAGTAATTCCTTAATTATAACCCAGTGCTGCAATCAGTAATAATTTAAAAAGCTATTTTATTTTCAGTCTTCTATAGCCTAATTGAAATATGGTTGACATTTCTGTGCACTATATACTTGGTGTTAGCGGGCAAATATTACCATGCTAAAAGGCTAATAGGCTGCTGCAAAATGCTAAACATAAACATTTGCTCAAACAATTGTAGCATTTTGCTATGCTCAATCACAATGTCTTAATGGTAAAGACTTGCCTACAACTGCGAGATAAAAATTTTAGCAATGTTATGCTGAGCATGTTAGCATGGTGTGGATGTTAGGCTATGCAAGTCTGCTTCTAGCCTGCACTTCATCTTCCTTTTTTCAATATGTATGCCATTTTGATTTGTTTAAATATAAATGAAATCATGTGAAGTTAACAAAATCATAAATTAAGTACTCAATATATATATATATATATATATATATATATATTATATGTCTCCTGAATGGATAAGCTAGTATGTGGACATACCCTCATAAACATCCAGGCCTATGTTAACAATTTGAAGTAAAACTTTCCTTGTAATTCACAGAAACATTTCATAAAACTTAATTACATAAATAAATTAAATGTTAACCTCATAATGAAAGAACAAGATCTTTCAAGATTAGCTTACTGAGGTCAGATTTCTTGAGGTCAAAGCTAACTACAGAAAGTAAATTAACAGTCTGCTTTTACACACACACAGATTGTTCAATAAAGATTAAAGCCGGTATGAAAGAAAAAACCTCTGGGGCTGGGTTTAAGTTGAACCTTTTATTGGTTCCACTGGGCAACAAAAGAGAAGATATAACTTTACGTACTTCCCTTTGACCTGCTCTAAGACATTTTAGCACCACTCAACTGTAGTCAGAGGGAACATTATAGTCCATTACATAGACTTGTGTCAACATTTTGGAATTCAAGCCTAGGTGACATACTTAGTAAGTTCTCTGTTCGCTGCTCGACCTCTCCTCAGCCTGATGAACCATAGAAGCTTAAAGTGTCTAATGACATAGACCTGTGCCTCTTTGATGTGTTTCTGTACGTAACCAAGAGTTCAGGTCTTTCCAGAAAGACAGAATATTTTTTTCCATTTCTTGTTTTTGCTTAAAGCAGGTTCGCTTTTCATGGCTTGTCAGATTTTTAACACGCCTATACCTGATGATCCCAACTGTGACTCTGAGGGTAAAACACACGTTCTACCTCACCACTCCGTAATTAGAGCTAGGTCGACCCTTCTCTAAGCCAGTCCAACAGTGGAAATATGATGATGAACAACAGCATCTTAAAACATTTTTTATTTTACTCAAACAACATTTTTCCAAACAACTGCATCTTCGATTTGAACTTTTTGACCCAAAATTCTCATTGCACTTTGCCAGCTAAAAAGAAACCCAAAACAAAAGGAAAATTAAGTTTGTAAGGCAACACATTCTTGCTGGATTATTTTATCGGTAGAGACTTGTATTTCTTCCTGTGGGGGTTTGGTGATTGACAGTAAACAGAGCATGACATAATGTGTGCACTGATAAAATGACACTCAACTTTGGAACCATGCCATTGTGATAAAAGAGGGAAACTGACCCACATAGAAATAACTCAACACCAATACAATACATTTCTATGAAGTGACTCTGACCATGACATTCATGGTGCCAAGAGGAAACCAACTGACTCAGAATCCTCAGAATTTTTCTGATGGTGACAACAAGAGTTTATCTGTTTTGTTTTTTGATTGACTTTTCTTGAGATATGCTTGGTAACCAGATAATTCATCCTGATCCATTTGGGGATTTTAAAAGCTTTCTCCTCAGGCCATTATGTTTACCTTTACTGCATATGCGCGTCAGCCATAGTCAAAAAGAACAGGGGACATATGTTGGTCTGCTTTGGGCCCAAAGTTGTAGCTAACTTCAGGGTTAACCTCATTTAATTCAACAAGCAGCAAGCAGACACTTGGTGTCCACTTTGAGTTTGGGTGAATTTATTATTTGCACAAAGCTCAAACTGTACTTACACTGTGTTCTTAGAGCTACCATTGACTAATTTCTCTACTCTCATGCTACTTGAGTCCCCAATAAATGGACTAGGTCTTGTATAGCACTTCTATTATTCTAGGCTATTCAAAGCTGAATTTACTCTACATGTCAAACCTCATTCCACACTAATGGCAGAGGCTCCTATGTAAGGTACCATCAGTATTTACTAATCCCATTCATACACATTCACACACCACTGGCATAACAGCAGAAGCAATTCAACTCTACCACTGAGTCACAGCCGCACATAACAACAGAACTCATTCACACGCAGAACTTCCACTTCTCTCTCACTCACTCACTCACTCGCTCTTCCACCCACACTTAGACACTGAGCTATCCAAAACATGACAATAAGTTCCACCTCTTGTACATGAATGACCTTTTTTGTAGATGTTTAGGGTTCCTAAACAATGAATTATACAGCACATGCTCGTAAATCTTATTTATACCTTAACTTTTATCTATAGCATTGGGATTACGTTAGCTAGGCCTAATGCTTTGGGAAATGAGTTCAAAGTACTTTGTCAAAATGTAACCAAATTGACAATGTACATATGATATAAAATTTGACAAAAAAATAAGTTAAAAATTGTATGCTGAAAGAATTGCAACTCAACAAGTTTATGGTAAAAAGTGACCACTTGTTTAAGTTTTAAAAGATATATACACACCAGGACATGGCTGGTAAAAGGGGCTTTAATTACAGAGAAGAAAATAAATTTTATTATAATTATATTTATTATATTATTATTTATAAGTTTATTGTTTAACCTATTTGGATAGATAATTGTTCAAAATGTTAACTACACAAAACATGGGGAGAAAATGAAAATACTATTCAAATGGTAATGATGCAAAGTAATGTCATTATCCTCAGCTGGACATTGAGATACTTAGATGCTAAATAG